GGGAAGGGATATTGGGGGAGGGATTTGTGAGGGTGGGACTGGAAGTAAACAAGGAAGGGGTGCCGAGATTGAGATGTAAATTGAATAACTAAGTAAATTAATGAAAAAATATTCAAAGCAGGATCTATGGATAGCTCAGAAGTTCATAGTAAAGTAAGGGCCAGAGTTTGGATCCTGGAACCAATGTAATAAGCCAGAAATTCTGCAAACACCTGCCGCTTCAGCTCTGAGGAATCTGATGTCCTCCACATGTGAACATGACCACATTTATGTATACACAAGTGCACATACACTTGGTTGTAGTTAGACACAACAAGACTAGGCATAGTGGCACACATCTATAATCCCAGAATAATACTATAATACTCAGAAGACACATCTATAATACTCAGAAGACAGGACAGGAAAATTCCTGGGACTTACTGGTCAGCAAGCCTAGACTACTCAGTGAGCTCTAGGTCTGTGTGTGTGTGTGTGTGTGTGTGTGAGAGTGTGAGAGAGAGAGAGAGAGAGAGAGAGAGGTGCTGTCTTGAAAAACAAGGTCAATGGAGATTGAGGAACAACACTGAGCACTCCACCACTCACACCCATTCACATGCACAGGCACACACACACACACACACACACACCACACATGCAATGCACACAAATGCATGCATGAGAGAGAGGGGGGAGGGGGAGGGGGGAGGGAGGGAGGGAGGGAGGGAGGGAGAAGGAGGAGGAGGAGGAGGAGGAGGAGGAGGAAGAGGAGGAGAAGAAGAAGAAGAAGAAGAAGAAGAAGAAGAAGAAGAAGAGAGAAAGTAAACACAAACTAGATCAATAATGCAGAATGGCATAAAACAGAAATCAGATTTTAAGATATATAAGAAATTAGCTCAGGACAAAACATTGAAAATGTGTAAATGTGTTTAAGGAAGGGGTACAGAATGGCTCAATTAACAAGAATTGTAAGACCAACTGATTATTTATACGATGAAAATCAAGTTCAATCTTTTAAATATTTAGAATCAAATATATACTAAAATAAATTCTATGTCATAAAGTTTAAAAATTCTATTAGAGAAGCCCAAAGAAAACATAATTAAATATAATTTAAAATTTTTCCTTTATGGGGAACAGCATTATAAAATTGTAGTATTTACACATACACACATAACATACACATACACAGAGACACACACAATCATGCACACACACATACACAATACACATAAATATTTGAAAATAAAATTAATAAATTCAATTAATAAATTCCAAAGCTGGTGGTTTAGCTCAGAAGTAGAACACTTGGATAGCATGTCCAGAGTCCTGGGTTCAATCTTCAGCACCACAAAATATGTAAATAAGAAATTATAATGATGTATATTTCATCTTGTAAATTTACAATTATATATTACCTATAACGTTGATATAGTAAACATACTCTTATATATTGTATAGTAATTTTAACTATCAAATAAAATTAACAAGTTACATACCAATTACTGCTTTTGAGGCAGAAAGAAATACTTTTTTGGGTTAAGAAATTAAAACAGCATCATGATGTTTGGCTGTTCAAAGTAGACACTTGAGTACTCAGCGCCTATCAGAGTTACCTCCAGGCTCTAGTTCACCTATGAATTGGAACAGAATGAACTCAGTCCCTCCTGTAAATAATATCAAGCATACTACCAGTGGCCTTGATTTTTGATCTAGCAATTTTCCTTCAAAAAAAAATTCAATCTAGGGGCTAGAGAGATGGCTCAGTTGGTAAACACTCAATAACCTGAGTTTGATTTCCAAAACCTGCACAGAAGTAGAAAGAATCAACCCCACAAAGTGGTTCTTAGACCTACATACCACACACCATAAACACACACATATACACACACACATACACACACACCATATGTATATTGTTTGTAAACAATAACAAATATAATTTTAAAAGAATAAATCTAAATAAAATAATCATGAATCAAAGATGTAAAGGCACTAAGATATAACTGGACCATGATTCATACTGGAATACAACACCTGACACTGAGGGATGGAAGGGCTAACCAGTTATGACAAACCTGTACCACAATATCCCAGATCACAGTACAAATTACACCTAGCAAAGGTGTTTTTAACTTGTCTTAGATTATTGTTGTGGTTGTAGTTGTATCTGAATAGTGAGTTTGAGTGCAGGAGTACATATGCCATGTGTATGTGTAACCAATAAAGGACAATTTGTCATTTCTTTCCTTCCACCGTAGGTGGCAGGGATCAAACACAGGTCATCAAGCATCAATCAGGCAGACACAGCAAGTGCCTTTTACCTACTAAGCTAATCTATCCTGCACAGGAAACGTGTGTGTGTGTGTGTGTGTGTGTGTGTGTGTGTCTGTGTCTGTGTCTGTGTGTCTGTGTGTGTGTATCTGTATATTTATGCATTCACATACAGGATTTTTAAAAAATACACCAAAAGGGTCAATATTGATCATCACTATAATTTCCCTAGAAGACAGATTATAGGTAACTAGTATCTTATTATTTGTTTTTCTGTGTTTCTCACCCTTGCCAATACCTGATTTCTTAGAAGCAAAAATGCCTGAAAGACAACCCTTAACTGCTCATAAAAAGAAAATAGAGGAAAGCAAGTGGTGTTGCTCACTAATCCAAAATTCATTCTAAACACAACTGATAATAACCTCTGGAATATGCTGTAAGACTTCATATTGCAGATTAAAAATCATTATTGGGGAGCTGTAGAGATAGCTTACTTGATAAGGTATTTGCTGTGTAAACATGAGGACTTGTGTTTAACACCCAGTACTAACATAAAAGCCAGGCATGGCAGCTCACAGGTATAAACCCAGTTCTGGGAAGGCAGGAACTGGTGGATCTTAGGACCTTCAGCCCAGCCAAGCCTAGCCAAACTGGCAAGTTACAGGTTTAATGAGACATACTGTCTCAAAACATAACATAAAGAGCGGCTGAGGGAGACATCCATCCACCCATCAACCTCTGATCTCCACAGGCACATATACACACACGAACACACAAACGAACACACATGAGGACATGCAACACACACACTAAGGTATCTTATAAAATGGAGATGCACCCTAAATTCTTCACAATCCAATCCCAACATGAGCCAGCCAGGTCTTAAAAATATGCTGGCATAAACATCAGCACAATGCTGATACAGCTCTAAGAATAAATATCCAGTTTGTTCACAAATGACAGGATCCAATAAATGTTCTGTAAGCAGAAAAGCCAGATTCATTAAAAGGAACATGATCAATAACCTGGATTTGGACATTATTAGACTGTTAGAGCAAAACACTATAATTAATGGAGGCCTGGCCTCATTAGGGCAGGAAGCTGGAAAACAAGGCCTGCCAGTCACTTGGTTCTAATACATTGAACAAAAGAAACAATGTACTGAGATTAGTAACAATTCAACTGGGAGAAATAAATAACTCTAGGGAGCATGACGCAAGAGTATTAAGATACAACTGCAGGGAATAACTCAGAAATCCTCTCATTAAGACATGAAGAAGATGGTTCAATTGATGATGACCAAAGGGATAAAATACACTTAAGTACCAAATAGCTTTGGCATAGAATAGACTGTCACAGAGATGGAGAGGAACCTACCCAGCAATCTGCTTTCAAGCGGTATCAGATCCTTAACTTCCATGGTATCCATCTCCTTCTCCACTATCAAACACAAAAAGAGCTAATCTTGAGGGGTGAGGGCAGAGTGAGACAATAGATATAGTATACCTGGTTTAACCCTTACAATGAAAGTTATAGGCTTCTGTTCTGTAGTGGTTTCCTATGGATTGCAGCATTACCTTCTAGAGTGAGTGGGAGATTTAAGAGGCTCGTGAAGCTCACAAATCCCCTTCCTGTGTCTATATAAGCGATAAATTATTGCTGCAGGAGAGGAGACTCTTCAGTAATGAGAGAGGAACGAAGGACTCCAGCGGCACAGCTTTGTGTGTTGCTACCCATGCTGGGGTGAGCTTTTTAGTGATGTTGGTACCTTTGAGTCACCTGTCCTCTTGTAAGGAAACAAAGATCCAAGCTCCTACAAGTACCCCAAATGAACTCATTGGTTCACCATGCTGGGTTTGAGGGGAATTGTTTCTTTGAACTACTGTTGCCCTCTTCAAGTCAAGAGAAGTAACCTCATGAACAGCAATGGAAAGCTTGCTGAGAATAACAACTAGTCATTCAAGTTTCTGATGCTATGGACCTCATTTTCCCTTTTCTGGCCCAATGGAAAGCATGGAGAAAGGGTTATGATGATACCGTGATGCTAAAGGGTGGTTGGAAGAGCTAGAAAAGAAATGATGTGTCAGCAACCTGAGTGATGATGTGGATGGTGCCTAGGGATAGCTCCCAGCACGTGAGTGTCTGGATTGTGTCCATGATGCATCAAGCCCAGACTCTGCACAGAGCTAGGATGAAAGAATGGGTAACAAACAACATCTTTTCTGTCAGAGCAGGATCAGTGCAACCATAGACGGTGGGGGAGTATGTCAGAGAAAATGCAATAACACTTCTAAGTAAAAAGAAAATAAATTCAGTGAGAACTCAGCAAATGTAGAATAGGCCTATTGAACATGACTTTAAAAGAGATGTCGAAGACAAAGTGAGAAGAAAATTGGCAGTGCTGGGAAGAATTAATGAAGACAAAAATCAATAATACTCAGTAACAAGATAAGAGAAAGCCGCTGGAAATACAAGATAAGTGCGTGTAATAAGCGAGTGTCGCATGGTGTGCAGCAGTGTTGTGAGAATTACACAATGGCCTTGAAGGGCGAAGCAGGGATGCTAAGTTCTAGCCATCACCAGGTGCTGATAAAAGACCCGGGTGGTCCCGTGATGCCTGCAAAGCCAACGGGCAGTTGCGACAACTTGTGGGTGAGTTAGCCCTCTGTCTACAAAGAAGTAATAAAGACAATTTATAGAGCTGCTGAGAATCAATACCAACCTTAAACTTGATTAGCATTAATGGTAGCTGAACTTGGGGTGATAAGGAGTTCTTCTGTTGAGGATAACTGTGTGTAACAGGTGTGGTGGTGACTTAGATCAGCAGAGGCACCGCTCGGACTGACTGGAAGTGAAAAGGACACAGCTGTGGGTTCCAGTTGTCCCTTACATGCCACTTAAATTCTCTAACACCATTTTATCTGTAAAAGAGATGTGAATATGTAACTACCTGCATTCCTGATGCATGTGACTATTCACAGTTAATCGACTTAAGTCCGATCACCCAGCAAGAGCTACGTGACAGCTATTTAATATGCAGCAGCATCAATTGTTTTAAGCAGATTCTAAAGAAACGAGAAAAGATACAAGTTCCCATTGCCTGTTGAGACAGTGTCAAATTTCTAAAGAATAAGTGGCCATAATGTTGGAAAATACTGTTTGTAGCTCAGTTCCTAAGAATACACAAAATGTTCTCTTTGATACGTAAAATACTAAGTGGAGAGACCCACATGCAGCTCACCGCAAGCATCGGTGGACCCTGTGTATCTACTGGCCCATTAAATAAATGTCCATCTGTGCTAAGAATACCCCGTACTGTGCACCTCACAGGTCCAAGCTCAGCCTCCTAGGCTAGGTGTTCTGAAGCAGCAGGGACAGCCCTACTAGGTGCAGAGAGGTCAGCCACCCAGCTCCTTTCATCCTTGACCGTGTATCATGATCGACACACTCAAACCCAATAAGTATTTCTGGAATAATGTCAGTCACCAAAAGCATCCAAGTGTTTAGTTGCTCATAGAATGCTAATTTGGGGTTTTTCATTTTTCAAGTTTCTCAGCTCATTTGTATATGCAAATATAGCATTGAGCACTTGCCAAATGGACTAAAAATGTCTATTTCATTACAAATCCTAATTCCTTCCAGAGACCAGAGTTATGTGTCAGGGGGGCAGTGCACCATGGCCTCTGTAAAACATAGTGGCTGAATTTGTTATAAACTGTAAAATATGTAAGAAGGGATTGAAACTATTTTAGACTGCCCAAAAAGTGCTAATGAAGGCCATATTGTATAAGATACTGGATGCTGAAATCAACATTACATCTTTTTTTTTTAATTATTTGAGAGATTTTTTTTGTATATCTGAAAAGAGAGAAAGCTGCCCACCTACCTCCAAACAAAAGCTATATGGTCATTTGGTAGGCAATGAGAACTGTACAATGGGACGTTTGTGTGAACGAATGAGAGAGGTTCTCTCAGAGACTGGCCCAACAGACAGCTCTGCACAGCCAAAACAAGTTCAAGGGGCATAGAGGGGCCAGGCTCTGATGCAAACTAAACCAAACACAGTGTTGTTCATGTTCTCTTCCCAAATTCTTTGCTTTGTTTCCATAGCTCAAGAATCCTTGGCAGCTAGTGACCATAAGGACAATGTGCTGTGTATGTCACAGGAATCCCCATAGAAATCTATTGTCCCTTCTAACACTTAAAGAGAAAGCATCATCGTCCTGCCTCTACCCACTAGCTTTCCCAGAGGACCTAGTAATGGCGATCGAATTTCTAAATGGGTATTCTTATTATACCTGAAAAAAAACCCTGAATTTTTGAAAATTAAAGTTGAAGTGTGACCATCGAAAATGAGCATTGGGGCTGCAGAAATGGCTCAGTGGTTAAGATCACTGACTCTTCTTCCTGAGGTCCTGAGTTCAATTCCCAGCAACCACATGGTGGTTCACAACTATCTGTATTGGGATCTGATGCCCTCTTCTGGTGTGTCTGAAGACAGCTACGGTGTACTCAGATACATAAAATAAATAAAATCTTTTTAAAAATTATTAGGTAGCATTAGAGTTATCATTAAGCATTTAGATTAAAAAGAAAAGAAAATGAGCATTATTTTCATACTTTGTAGGTGAAGTAGCTTGCCTTGTGGAGAGCAACTCATATAAACATTCATCAAAACTAGAACCTGTGCTATGACCATTTCCTGATTTGATTTTCTTTCTAGAAACTTCCTGTCAGACACTGCACGACCAGGGCTCACAACTTGCTTCCAGGGTTTCCTAATGCCCTAAGAGTGGAAGCAGCCTGACTGACCACCAGTTGAAAGCTGGATATGTGGTTATATAAATTAAACGAATTTATATAAAATTTAATGATATAAATTAAACACAAATATAAAAATTTGATATATAATAATAAATAAATTCATCCATAGAGCTGAATACTGTGGAAGCGAAAAAGAAAAATGAGGCAGCTCGATCAATAAGACAACCAGTCTCATGAGCTCAAGTGAAAACAAAAATCTAATTTTGCTGGGTTTCTAAAAGCAGTATATTTAAACATATACAACTTACTGTTATGTAAGAAAATGATAAGTATGTAAAGGAACACCCGTATAAATCAGAGGAAGTTAGCATTTCTTAACCGTTACAAGCCCGTAATTGAGCCTCAGCACGTCACGTGAATTGTCTCATTTATTCATCTTGGCATCTCTAATATTCCTACTTTTCCAGTGACAAAATCGAGACAAATTTAGATCCAGTAGCTTCTCCATACAGCCACGGGCTGGGTTCAAGTTCTTGCCTAGTCTCAGAGCCTAGCATCTCATCTCAGGGCTGACTACATAGAACTTTCTAGTGCGGGGACTGGGGTGCAGCTCAGTGACTGCTTGACTTGCAGGAGATCCTGATGTAGATTCCTGTACTGGAAGAAGTAGAAGAGAGGAAGAGAGAAAGGGAAAGCCACCCGAAGAGGAAAAGGCAGCTCGGGACGAATAGGAGGTGGAGGGGGAAGTCTTACTTTTACCTAAATTTTTGGAAATCTGTCACAAGTATAAGCTGCCTCAAAATAAATAATACACTCATTTTTTCTCATGGTTTGTTTGCATAAAATATTACAAAGGACAGTGTAAATAGGACCATGCATGCATTATGCATTTTTAAAGAAATGTAGTTTTATTCCTGTATTTACTTGTATAATTAAGTCCTCTGTTCTTCAGGGACTTGAAAATGAAAAACACAATCCAATGTATACAGAATCCACAGGACCATAAGAAGTTTTTAAAGCAATCCAGAGAAGTAATAAAATATGCACACTCATGAAAACATACATACATGCATATACACACATATATGCCCATATACATACATAGGCTTGTGTACACTAAATGTACATAAATAGATATATACACACATGTTGTACACATGCATACTTACACATACATGATGGCTATTGCTGTGAATGAGGGTTGAGTCTGTTTACTCAATACAGATTAACCAGAAGAGTAGAGGCTTTTGAGTTTATTTCTACATAAAGGAAGAAATTAAATGCATTCCAGGTAGTAAAAAAGAATAAAAGCACATTGTCCCATCTCTCAACTGTGATCTACTACCAACAATAATGCAAAGATACTTTGTGATATGAAATACAGAAGCTTCATCATTAGAATGCATAAAGCACACATAAGGGAGCCACAGAGCTGTGACGTACATGTGCTGTTCTAAATCACAAGGCCCAGAGCACAGAGTGGTGCTTGTGCAGCCTTAAGGTGGGACACTGTTCAATTGCACAGGTCCAGCAGGTCTGCATCGGGCACCAGGACTGCACTTCTAAGGAGCTCCCTAGTGACAATGCCACCAATGGTGACTAGGCCACAGTTTGAACCGCACCATGCTAGACGGCATGTCTAATTAAACACAACTCTCATCTGAGCGCTGAAGCTGAAGAACTACCTTGCAACTATTAAGCTCTTTCAAATGTGTTATCAAACCAGGACAGGAAATAAAGAGTTGTATTTTCTCTCAGAAGCTCTGAGAGACCGGGAGAACAGTCGCCTGTGAGTCCTTTGCTTTCAAATTGGGACGATAACTCCACATACTTTGTGAAAGATTCTGGAGGGTTCTGATTTCATGAATGGTTAAGAAGGGCTTGGAATTAGTCTATCATTGTATGTACAAGCGAGCAGTTTTGAAGCATTTACATTTTTTAACTTAAAATTCATCCGACACGTGTAAATAATGTACTAGAAATTGTAGAACACCAGAAGTCGAGGACAGGGTCAGCCTCAATGTTCCTGTCCCCTGGTGGCCTTCAGTGAAAATCTGCACCATGGTGCGCTCCATAAGGAGACACTGAAGTGTGTGTACGATTGCTAACACTGTAACAATAAGGACATTCACAACGGAGCAACTGACGCACAGGATGTGGAGCAAGTAACCTGTGCGTCCAGGTGGGAGATGGAGGTCATGATTTCAGAGCTGAGGTGAGTGTTGGCTTCTTAGAAGAGGGAAACACACCACACACTGTAGCTGGCATGGTAAGTACACACAAGTAATTTCAACAGGCAGGAGCCAGAGACAGGAGAATCACGAGTCTGAGGCTAGTTTGGGGTAAATTGTAGGATACTTTCGGATACATGGTGAAGCCCCCAATTTAAAATAAAAACAAGGAAAGTAAAAAAGAGGGTGAGCAGAGTGGTTCTATGGCAACCAGCATGTAAGCACAGGAGTGTGCCACTCAGCCTGTGTGTGTGTCTGAGAGAGAGAGAGAGAGAGAGAGAGAGAGAGAGAGAGAGAGAGAGAGACAGAGAGAGACAGAGAGAGAGAGAGAGACAGAGACAGAGAGACAGAGACAGAGAGAGACAGAGACGAGAGAGAGACATATTAGACTGGTTTACACACTGTGGTCTAGGTAGTCCAACAATCACTGTCTACCAATGGAAGGTTCAATAATTGTCCAGTTCATAGGCTGGCTGGATGTCTTCGCTGGTCTTTAGTATATACCTCAGAATCCCCAAGAAGTGGACTCTGATTCCAGTGAAGGAATGGACTCACCAGCAAGATCAAGAGTAAGCAAGCAGAAACAAAACAAAACAACAAAACAAAAAACAAAAAAACCAAGAGCTTCCTTCTCCCTTGTCCTTTATATAGACTGCAAGCAGATGGTGTGACCCAGATTAAAGGTAAGTCTTCCAACCTCAAATGGTCTGGATTAAAAGTGTGTCTTCCCACCTCAAAAGATCCAGGTTAAAAGTGGGTCCTCTCACTTCAGATGATTTTGTTAATGAAAAAATTCCTCACAGGTATACCGAGCTGCTTGGGTTTTAGTTAATCCAGATGTAGTCAAACT